TGTACCCTCTCACCCACCGAACCCAGGGTCTCCACATGGCTATTGACCAACACCTGGAGACCCTCCACTTCCTGGTCATCCAGGCTCCGGCTACGCCACTCATCCTGGGTCATTCCTGGTTCTGCCGTCATGAGCCTCACATCTCCTGGTCCACCAGTAAGGTCCTGGCCTGGGGCGCGGGTTGCCAGAACCACCGGGGCTCCCCTGCACCTCGGACTGGAGCAGCTCCTCCCAAGGACGTAGACCTGACACTCGTTCCTCCTCCATACCACGACCTAGCTCAGGTCTTCGCTAAAGAACCCACTACCAGGCTACCTCCTCATCGACCCTATGACCTGGAGATCAGGCTGCAGCCCAGCACCACCCCCCCTCGGGGTCGCCTGTACTCCCTCTCTCCGGCGGAGACCCGGGCAATGGACAATTACATAACTGATGCCCTCCGGAAGGGGTTCATTCGTCCCTCAACATCCCCCGGTGCCGCAGGTTTTTCTTTGTAAAGAAGAAGGAGGGAGATCTCCGGCCCTGTATTGACTAAAGAGGGTTAAATAAAATAACGATCCGGGATCGCCACCCTCTTCCTCTCATGGGCACCGCCCTGGATGCCACCACCCAAGCCACAGTATTCACCAAACTGGACCTGCGCAGTGCTTACAACCTGATCCGTATCAAGGAGGGGGAGGAGTGGAAGACCGCTTTTATCACGCCCACTGGCCACTATGAGTATTTAGTGATGCCTTTTGGCCTCTGCAACAGCCCCGCCGTCTTCCAGCGATTTATTACGGATGTGCTAAGAGACATGTTGGGCCGCTGGGTCTTTGTTTATCTGGATGATATCCTCATCTACTCCCGCACGGCCGAGGAACACATCCGGCATGTTCGGTCTGTTCTGTCCCACCTCCTGGATCATGAACTGTACTGTAAACTGGAGAAGTGTGCGTTTCACCAGGAGTCCACCTCCTTCCTGGGTTTTACCATCTCCTCCCGGGGCCTGCAGATGGACTCTCAGAAGGTTCAGGCAGTAGCTCAGTGGCCTCTACCCGCGACCCTGAAGCAGTTGCAAAGCTTCCTGGGTTTCTCGAACTTTTACCGGAGGTTTATACGCGACTTCAGTTCCCTCGCAGCACCTCTGACCTCCCTCACCAAAGCCACCAACCAGCCTCACCCTTTCCGCCTTACTCCAGAGGCTGTCCGTGCTTTCCATGATCTGGTCGGACACTTTATTAAGGAACCCATCCTCCTCCACCCGGACCTGACCCGACCCTTCGTCATGGAGGTGGACGCCTCTGATGTGGGAGCGGGGGCCGTCCTCTCGCAGCGGGGACCGGACTCTAAGCTCCACCCATGCGCCTACTTCTCCCGGAAATTCTCCCCCACACAGCAGAACTATGGGGTCGGCGACAGAGAACTGCTGGCAATAAGATGGGCTCTGGAGGAATGGCGGCAGTGGCTCTTGGGGACCACCGAGCCTTTTCTGATCTGGACCGACCACCAGAATCTCATCCATCTACAGACTGCCCGGCAACTCAACCCTCGTCAGGCTCGGTGGGCCCTCTTTTTCGAGCCGTACAACTTTCATATCGCCTACCGGCCCGACTCCAAGAACCTGAAGGCGGACGCTCTCTCTCGGCGTTTCACAACAGATTCAAGCCCCCCGGAGCCTCTGACCATTCTGCTGGCTCAAGGGTTTGGGCCACACTTCCTGGCGATCCGGCACCCCCGGAGACTCCACCAAACCGTCTCTACGTTCCAACCTCCTGCCGACAAGAGGCACTCACGTGGGGGCATTGTTCATGGCTCGCGGGACATCAAGGACAAGCCCGTACCCTCCAGTTCCTCCGTCGGGCTCTCTGGTGGCCGTCTATGAGGAGGGATGTCCGCGAGTTCACTGCTGCATGTGATGTGTGTTCTCAATCCAAGTCATCTAACCAACCCGGCGCTGGAGATTTACAACCTCTCTCTGTGCTTAAGCGGCCGTGGTCACACATCGGGCTGGATTTTGTCACGGGACTGCCGGTTGTCGACCACCTGGACACCATACTGACTATCACGGACCGTTTCTCCAATGCCGTGCACTTGGTGGCCCTGGCCGGCCTCCCCACTGCCAAGACAACAGCCGAACTGCTCCTCGAACAGGTGGTGCGGCTCCATGGTTTCCCCCAGGACGTGGTTTCCGACCGGGGACCCCAGTTCGTCTCACGCTTCTGGAAAGCGTTCTGTCGCCTGGTCGGCGCTTCCACCAGCCTGTCCTCTGGGTACCATCCGCAGATGAACGGTCAGACAGAGAGAGCTAACCAGCAGCTTGGACGCTACTTGCACTGCTTCGCTTCATCCCAGCCGACCACCTGGCCTCACTTCCTCCTGTGGGCGGAACTGTCCCACAACCTCCAGACCTCCTCTGCCACGAGTCTGTCTCCCTTCGAGACCTGTTATGGGTACCAGCCCCCTCTGTTCGACCATCTGGTGCCTGAGGTGGAGGTCCCTGCTACCCAGACGCTGGTCCGCCGCTGTTGGCTCGCCTGGATCCGGGCCCATTGGGCCATCACCCGGACCAACACGGAGTATGCCCGTCAACATCGCCGCCGCCACCGGCCTGGCCCCGTCTTCCGGTCTGGCGACCAGGTGTGGCTCTTCTCCGCCAATCTGAGGATGCCGGCTGGCTCCCGGAAGCTCACTCCTCGCTTCCTGGGTCCGTTCCCTGTCCTCAGGGTCATCAATCCAGTCACTTACCGTCTGCGCCTCCCAGCTGCTCTCCGGATCCACCCGGTCTTTCACGTCTCCCAGCTGAAGCCGGTGGTCTCCTCTCCTCTCCACCCTCCGCCGACCTGGGTGCCTCCGCCCCGCTGTGTGGAGGAGGATCGTGTCTACACGGTACGCAAGGTTCTGGACGCTCGCCGCCGGGGACGTGGTTGGCAGTACCTTGTGGACTGTGAGGGGTACGGTCCGGAGGAGCGCTCTTGGGAGCCCACGAGCTCGTTTGTCGACCCTGCCCTGCTGTCTGACTTCTGGGCCCGCCGTCCTGAGACTTCGGGAGCCGTCCCTCGAGGGGGGTCCTGTCACGAACTCCTCCAGCTGACTTAATTTCCCAGCATTCTCGCCACCACTTCTCAACATTCCCGCCACCAACGTGGCTTGCTGACGTCATCACGCCGACACTATATACGGAAGGACCGGCGTTCATTCATTACTCTATCGTTCCTACCAGACTTTGAATCGAGTTCTCAGGCTTACCAGCCCTCAAACCTAACCAAAAGGATCTAACCACGCTGTCTGCCTCCACCACTCCGCGTCTGGGAAACAGACCATCTCCGCTACGCTTCTGCTCTGCCACAAAACCTGACAGCCTGTGCACAGATATTTTTTGTGACAGTAACTGTTCTCAAGCCTATAGATTAAAATAAAGTTTTCAATCATAATTTTAGCCTTTTTTTAACTTTCTTTCACTTCAAATGTTTTATGCTGACAATATTTTCTGTTTGGTTGGGGTTTCTGACCTTTATTATGAACATGCAGTTTAGATGTTCCAGATGTGAAACATAGAAGATTCAGCTGCTGCAACATGCACAGGAACTCTGCTGTGTTGGGTAGCAATAAACTCTAAAGTAATACCACACCCAGAAACATTCTAATATTAAACACTTGTTTACCCACAGGCCTGAAATGGGCGTGCAAATGATCCTCTATGGTCCAGATGTCTCTGGTCCAACATACATCACTGCTGCTGCTGTTGGAGGTTCAGATGTTTAACTAACTCAGATGAGCCAGAGAACTTTTCCAAACTTTTCCGACTCTTATAAAAAACAATTCACAAGGAAAATTCAAGCCTGAAGGACACCAAAATGCTTTATTACCAAAATATTTATAGATTATATCTGGCAAGTTCAATGTAATATTAATAATTATTGAATAAATTATCACTAAGGTCATAACACCTCATTTATATATTTTACTAAAACACTACTTAAAGGGACTTTACAGACTTTTGAATTTTTATGCCCATGATTGCCCCCTCAGGCCAAAAGCGTAGCAGCAGCTTCAATAGTAGGCTCGTGCATGAGGCGCGCATGCTGTACCTGCACACTCCTTAACAAAAATAACAGCTGAGACAGTCCCGTGTGTGTGTGTGTGTGTGTGTGTGTGTGTGTGTGTGTGTGTGTGTGTGTGTGTGTGTGTGGGTGTGTGTGTGTGTGTGTGTGTGTGTGTGTACCTTTCTCTTCAGCACAGCTGACAAAGGTTTATGATGGGTCAGTTCTCCTGCATGCTCAGATCATTCCCTTCCCTTGCTTGAAAAATTGTTTCAAAATGAAAGTTGAACCCATATCTTTTTTATCTGTGAATTCAATGCCGTTCGGTGAGTCTCAAATAAAAATTTGGGCATCTTACTGTAAAAAAATATTCCATTAATGTAAAAAATAAACTCTAAATGAACAATTTTCACACCCAGAATCGAACCCAGGTCTTCTGCATGGGAGTCAAGACATCTTACAAAGTGAGCTACACTTTAGCAACATTCTCAGTATCTGTAACATTTATATCCTTGATGACACCTGACACAACGTCAAACAAAAGAACGGTTCGGAGCGAAAATGGCTATTTTGTTGCTAATTTGCAGGAAATATCTAGAACAAAGTTCTACAGAAAGTAGCTAAGGGTCCTCAGAAATGTAGCTAGGTTCATCACTAGGCATTAGGAACAGCGACAAAGTCGCTGAGTTGGCACTACCTCACTCTCTGCTGCTAAATCTACTGATAGCAAATGCTACGGGCTATGCCTGAGCGTGAACGCGCATGAAGCAGCCTGCTCGACCCGAGCAGCTCTCTTTTTCTGTGATTTTACAGAAAAACAGGCAATCACAGTAAAAATGCCAGGGCTCATTCTACAGGACCAGAGCGTTGCAGGAGAATGTATGAAGAAGAAATGTATTATTTCTGTACATGTTTTGGCTGTCAAACTTCCATAATGCCCCTTTAAAGAGGCAATGTGTAGATTCCTGCCACTAGCGTCCCTTTAAGCTGAGCAAACAAAATGTGCTCATGCAAAATAATTTTCTGACCTACAAAACACTGCTTATTCACAGCATATCACACTTAATCAATCACCCTCTTCCTAGAAATGCATTCAGCTGTTATTGGAAAATATCTCGCCTCCTACACATGCACTTTCTGCCAGAAATAGTCAGTACAAAGAACCTCGTGAATACCCTGCATAGAAACATAGAATATTAATAAATAAAAACAATTTTTTTAAAGTTATCAGATGGAGCCAAAGAGGAAAATGACAATGACTGAAATGACATATATTTTTATTGTATCAAACACATATGATCCTGCCTGTCAGCTACAGGTCCTTCTCAAAAAATTAACATATTGTGATAAAGTTCATTATTGTCTGTAATGTACTGATAAACATTAGACTTTCATATATATTAGATTCATCACACACAACTGACGTAGTTCAAGCCTTTTATTGTTTTTGATATTGATGATTTTGGCATACAGCTCATGAAAACCCAAAATTCCTATATCAAAAAATTTGCATATTTCATCCGACCAATAAAAGAAAAGTGTTTTTAATACAAAAAAGTCAACCTTCAAATAATTATGTTCAGTTATGCACTAAATACTTGGTCAGGAATCCTTTTGCAGAAATGACTGCTTCAATGCGGCGCAGCATGGAGGCAATCAGCCTGTGGCACTGCTGAGGTGTTATGGAGGCCCAGGATGCTTCGATAGCGGCCTAGAACTAGTATGTAATGTTATACAATTAATAGGTGAGAGAGCTCACTAACCTCATTTGCTGTATAATTCTGCAGTTGTAGTCATTTTGGTCCAATCTACAGAAATAAGTCACGCACGACCACAGATCTCAGGCTATCTGTTCAAAGTGTGTTGGAAATGGTGCCATCTGTGTAGCCCTCTTTGTGAGGTTTAGCTGTGGTAGCCATCTTTAAAGCTTTAGTAATATTGAAATTTATATTCATTCAGTCATTCATGATCTTATCCCCCAGTTCCAAATATTTTAAACTTCTTGGTGTACATTAATATTAAAAGCATTAATGACTTATTATGCTGGCAAAAGCATATCAGTGTTTAATAAAACACTACCTGACTCTACCTCACCTCAGCCTTTGGGACCAAACGAGTGGAAACATCTTCTCATTCCCCCACCTGTCTGATTCACTCAGGTCCTGAACGTTTTGCCTCACCACCCTATTTGTGCTAAAAATGCAAACAGGACGATGCTACATTCTAAACAAATTGGAAATATGATTATCAAACCGCCAAATAGTTCCTGTGCACAGCCACTGCCGCAGCTCGGGGATAGGTCTGATGGGGAGATGTAATTTCATCAGTGAGTGATGACGACTAACTTTGACGTTATTGAATACTGATGAAAACAAGACAAACGTGTTAATTCTCAAACACAAGTTCAATCTTTTAAGGGGTGTGTAGACCCTACAGCACTCACAAAACAGTGTGTTCTTCCTCTGCTTTTCCAAAGAAAGCATGAAAAGACTCACGTCACTGCTGACAGTATTGCTCATTATATTTATAGCCCATAGTGTTATATAATATGGAAACTGTAGGAGGGAGATCAATCCCACCTTCTGTGCAGTTAGCTGCAGAGAGTGAACGGTCAAGAAAGTTATTAAAATAAGGAAAACATGCCGTGTTGACCTGCAAACTTCACTGTGACCAAAACATGGGAGGTCTGCAATGCATAGTGATGCTAAAAGTATTTCTGCAATTCAGTTTTTCACCCAAACCTCAAACACAGCATATATTCATGAGTCAACAAGCAGGCTGTAGCTGCAAAGAGGTGTGCTTCTGCAGCTGATGCAGAAATTTTAAGATTCAACTCGCAGCACCAACTTGCTGTTTAACTCTCCATCTGGCATACATATGCCAGCTTCTGTTGAGTCTCCGCTTTTGTTAGAAAGCCACACTCAGCTGAATCGTAAACCAGTGTGCTGCAGAGGAAACAACTCCGGGTGCAGAAGAAAGCATGCAAACAGAAAACAAAGGCTTCTTACCTGCAACCAGAAGGTCAGAGCATCACACAGGAAGGATGAAGGGCAGCAAGAGAAAGACGAGAGAAGCAAAGGTTAGGGACAGTGGGTTAAGAAACCTGATATCACATAACATGCGTTTCATTGACTAATGTTCTCATTGTTGTCTTCAACTTCTCAGGTTTTTCATTATTTTGTTTAAAAGCCCGTCATAAAACCACCCAAACACATAAAACTACACCTTTGAGAACTTTCTGATTTTACACAACAACACAATCACAAGTCCTAATACATTGTTTGAAATTAAAGAGGCAAGCGTGAGAAACTTTATTAGTAAATAAGTTGTCCTTTGGCCTGCGATCTGGTGAAATCTTTAGGGGAACCACCCATCATGTTTATGGTCCATGCTGCCTGCGGGGAGCCAGAGCTGAAATATCCTGCCAAGTGCTGCCCGCCCAGCTCAGCCCCTCTTACTCACAGCTTCCATTCAATCAGTAAGGTTGTTCGCACAGTGATGCAAAGCCAGTAAAACCTGTTTTACGACGAGCATATTCAAACCTGAAGTGAAAAAGTCAGACACCTATTTAAACACGGAAATATACGGTCCACTCATGCTGAGATATATCGCCAGGAGTGACAAACAAGTTGTGGGATGGCAGCAATTTTCCAATTCGGATCCTCAAAGGCAAACAGGAAATTAACATCACCACTAACAACAAGTAACAGCCCCGGTTTGAGGATCTAGGTTAAAGAAGGAGATAATCAAGCCTCAGGCCTCGTTTCCTGCTTCAAGGCTTTGATGGACTCTAAAGGGTTACAAACAGAATTGCATAAAATCTTGTAAAATCCTTGGAAATTTCAAAGCCAAGCAGCTTGAGCAGAGGAAACACACCAAGCCCAACCACAATGGAATGGCAATTAAAGTTGGCTGCAGTGCTTCTAAATGATGAGCTGCAGCTTTGGGGCAGCAGCTGATAGGGCTAAAACCAACCTGTTGGATCCAAGGACCAAAGAACACCATCAGGTTTGTTTGGTTGCAGTAAGGTCCACGCTGGCATAGACCCATCTGCCCATGCTGTGTTTTAATGCCATATTTGACTTAACGCTCGAAACATGCTGAAGCATTTAAGCGCAAAGATCACCATTTGAAGACTTTGTTGTCACCTTCTTAAGTGTCCTGTATGAGCGATGATGTAATTTCCTTAAAAAATTCAGTTCCTGTACAGGGTCAGGGAAAGCTGCTGCCTGTAGTCCCCGAGTGGTGGGCGGACAGGGACTCTGGACAGATCGCCGGTTCATCAGGCCATGAAAACAAACGGCTGTTATGTACATATAATGTATGTCTAGACTAGCTTTAGGACTCAAGGCTATTAAATGGTCTCTTCTAATACTGAGAGATGTTTTGAGCAGCAATGACTCATATCTCAACGCAGGAAAAGACACATTCAACGTAGTTTTGTAATGGAAGGCAACACAGCATTGTACAATCCAAACAACTAGAGCTAAAACACTTGTAAGCCTTCCGTGATCTTGAACCAGTCTTGTGAAAAAGCGTTCTCCACCCTAAAGATGTATTTTGTTTTTGCTTTTGTTTCAGTCTAAAACCAAATGGTGAATGATCTGTATTTGTTAGGGTTCTAGAACCCCCCAAAGGAGCGTCACAACAAATCACAGTCATTCACCCATTCACACACACTTTCACACGCTGGTGAGGCTGAGCTTCGATGTAGCCACAGCTTCCCTGGGGTGCACGGACAGAGGGAAGGCTGCTGAGCACACGCATCATCGGTGACCACCACCAACAGGCAAGGCGGGTTAAGTGCCTTGCCTAAGGACACAACCGCAGCATTCTCTAGAGGGAGCCAGGATCAAACCTGCAACCTTCCGAGTACTGGACAACCCGCTCCCCCTATAAAACTACTGCTGCCCCTAGACCTGCTGCACTAAAATTTTTTCCAATAAAACTTGTCTGACAAAGTGTTATGCCCTGTTAGAAAGAAAGTTCCAGAATCAAACCCACTGCTGACTTGTATCAAATATTCACGTGACTAATTATGAACCTTATCCCAGGTGTGTGCCTCGTTCCATGTGGAGTAAAACTACTGCCATCTCATACCTACAGTCAGCCATGATGGTGGTAGTGTGATGGTCTGGGCTGCTTGCTGCTTCAGGGCTTGGACCACATGCTGTAAATGATATAACCATGAAGTCTGCTCTATAGCAGAAAATTCTGAAGATTATCTGACCTTTGACCTTAAACAGGTTGTTCATGCTGGGAAACCCTCCAATATTGTAGAAATAGAACAATTTGGTAAACAGGAGTGAGAGAAATTTCCTCCACATTGATGTGAGGCAGATTAACCAGTTAGAGTTGGGCCTCAATGGGATGAATTATTAAACATAATCTAATCTTCTCAGGAAGCTTGTCACCAGAGACTTTAAACTTATAAATACAATGTATTTTCATGTCTTTTATAAAGCATCCTGCCATGTTACTTCAACAGATTATTCATCAATAATGATCTTTGTTTGCTTCCTGCTGTTTGGTCTGATGAAAGATTAAACATGGCATAAAAGAGTAAAGATTCTGTTAGTGCAAAATGATTTACAAATCCTTAAAACAAGATTATAAATGTTAAATTATCTAAACTCATACACAGCAGAATTGCATCTAAAATGCAATCCTTGCATCATTCACATTCAAATCTTAATAACATTGTCCTTGACAACTGATTCCTCCTAAAGTCCCAGCGGCTGGCTGCTGAGCTAACCAGTGGTGCTTTAGTTGCAACAGATGCCCCTTTCGGTGCACTCTATTGTTTCTGACAGTGGCAATCTGGACATCAGATTAGAAGATGTGCTCTTTATCAGTGTGCAATCCTTTAAAGAGCTTAGTGAGGGGGTCCGGCTTGTCTCCACCAGAGTGCCAGGTCAGAAAAGCACCCGCTTCACGTCTCCCACCATCAGCTCTGCTGTAATCTTGTTGTCTGCAGAGCCGAACGCCGAGCCACACACACTACAGCAGAAGGCGCAGAGAGGGACGAGCAAACACAGAGGATGAAAGTGTTTATCCCTCTGATGACAAAACGGGCAAAGGACTGTGCAGGACTGATTTGATGTGACACGCTCAAGGCCGTGGAATGCTGGGGTTGGGTTTTTGATTCTTTGCAGGATATTGTGACAGCTTGAAACATGCAAGTCAAGCTATTTTACTGAACGCGTTCAAGGTTTGCAGCTTGTACTTCTTACTGCTTTCATTTAACCAACAGCAACGCCAAAAGTACTAAAATGTGAACCCTATTCAAACAAACCACGGAAATGAGGCTTTCCAGCATTTGCTGCATCATTTTGTCAAGTTTAATTAGAAATGTTGTTTGAAAACATCTGAAGAGTTAGAAGGGGCATAGCTTACCAATTATCAACCATCATCTTTTATTTCCTATGTAGACACTATAAAATGTTTCTATCATAGGTGCCTCAAATTTTCTATTTTTGTTAAAATGTCATGAATTTAAATGCTATAAATGATCTAAACTCTAAACTACCAGATGGCCACATTTACAGTTTATGCTCGTTGCGTTCACTAATCCTGTAACAGGCTGTGCTGGTCTAGGTTTCTGTTGCAGGGTATCCTTGGACTGCCTTTACCCTCAGCAGAATCACTCATCAGTGAAGCGACTGTGACAAATAGGGGTCTGGGATGCCCCTCCTCTTCGCTGCACGACAGCTGATAACAGATGATCAGTGAAACCCAGTTGTCTGAGATGATCCAGGAGTAGAGGAATACTCCTGGATGATGACAGAACAGAGCACGCCTTGTTAGAGTCAGACAGAGGGATGCTCCAAGGAAGGACCAAGAGGATGGAAAGACCGAGAGAAACAGGAGGGGTTTGACCCTGCTGGTTGGTCCTCCGAGTCACAGAGGCCCAGAGCATCTTCTACAAGCCTCCACCATGTCACATCACATCAGAGCTGCTGCCGGCTCCTTCTCCTCCATGCTTACTTTTGGACCAGCACACAGCTGTGGGCAACATGAGCTTGCACACAAATGCACAGAAACCCTGACATATTTGTTCATGGGATGATTTCCTTAAACCTCAACACATTACCCTGCAATTCCTGTGGGTCCAATTTCACAGCAACAGCTTAGAGAGGCCACACAGAGGCAAGCACAACCCCTCTCTCTGGTAAACATGTTCAGATTTAAGTACGTAAAAGGCTGATGGAATCATCTGCGTGATGCTGACAGTGAAGGACAATTCGCTGTCTGAAGTCCCAGCCCTGGAGGATTTTTTCCAGAAATCCAGTTTTTCTTTCCTTCCATTGGTGCTTCTCTTATCTGCTCTCCCCATCAGTATGTCTGACCCATTTCAGATCAAGCATTTCAGCATTTTTGCTCCAATAACAAGCACAAAACTTTCCTGGGGAAGTGCACATTAGCCTCCACTGACTGGATGGGGATGATTTCAGCTGAATCAGTTCTTCAGTTATCCTTCTACTTTATTCTAAGGACAAAATGTTGGAAATTGTGGAATCAAAGCAGAAAATGTGATGTTTTCAATTCTGTGATTTTACATAAAGTCAAAATTGCTCCTCAGAGCTGGAACCGATTCAAGCTGTTAAGGTGAGACCTCTGAGAAGAGCAGAAAAGCCAGCAGCAGCTGATCCACCAAGAGGGAAGAACTTAGAGCAGCTGAAGAAAGCCAGCATGATCCAAACTCCACATGGAAAAAGGTTATGACCTGTTTCTATGTCAATCACAAGTTAAATACAAGCTCAATCCTATGGGGGAAAAACTATTTCATTTGATGGCTAAGACCTTATTTAGACTTATGTTAAATGTTGGAGCAAAACACTTAATAAATATTTAAAAAGAGATGGGCCAGGAATACAATTCTGACAAGTCTCATAAAATCTGAGGTTATCTCATCGATTCTGTTCATAACTTTTATGGAAAGGATTTGGGAACAGCCAAGGTGTGGAGGGGATCCAATTTGGTGGCCTGAGGATCAAGTCTCTGCTTT